CAGTCGTTCATTAACAGCAGCTTACACAATGCCACTGTTTGTACGGGGATCACCGGAAAACGATACGTGTGTGTTCAGTGTTCTTAGTCTGTTCCTTTTAAGTGTGTGTGTGTGAGCGTGTGTGTGTGTGTGTGTGTTTTACCGAGGATCTTGCTGATGTTGGAGTTGTGCATGTCGGGGAAGGCCTGGAGAATCTTTCTCCTTTCATCCTTGGCCCAGACCATGAAGGCGTTCATCGGCCGTTTAATGTGCGGCTCGGCGGGGGAGGGGGGGATGAGGGGGAGGTTGAAGGGGGAAAGTTTGGAGAAGCACATTAGCAGAGGCAGACGAAGAAGAAGAAAAAGACAAAAACAAAAATAACACACGAACATTTGAAATTGTGAAAAAATATATTCCTGCAATTCAATTTTAAATTGAGTTTTAAAAACAGAGAGAAAATGTTCTGTAAATCATTTGTTCCTGGGACAAGAATAACATTTTATACATTTAATTTAAAATAAAAAACAAATCTAAAATGAATAATTTTAATAAGCAGATAATGAACAATGAGTCTTTGTTAAAGATTCTTTATCAGAAGGTCGTAGTTTGAAAACATGATTTTTATTTATTCAGTTTTCTTTAATTTGTTTCTATTATTAAAAAAAAAAGAAAAAGTCAAATCAAAACCAATCAAGACAAATTAACCCCTCGTTAGAACTGAACTGTGTGTTTGTGTGTGTGTTGGTTTAGATCCAGTTGTGGGGATTTTTTAACTGAATGTGAAGGTGTTTTAAATTTTAGGTTCAGTTAGGATTAAAATTAGGGTCAGGTTAGAAATAGATTAGAGATGAGGATTATGATGTCACTAATGCGTAAGTTTAAGGTCAGAGGTCAGGGGAGGCATAATATCTCGCGTCTCTATAATCACAAATAAACCTGCACATGTGTGTGCGGACGTGTGTGTGTGTGTGTGTGTTTACCGTCAGACTCCCCGCTCATGGTGAAGTCCAGCATGGCGTGGTTGAACTTGTCTTCCGCCTGCTGCTTCAGCTGTTGACTCAGACTCTCCAGCGCAGCCTTGTCCTGAACAACACAAACAGTCCACGCTCAGTCGTCGGTGACTCACCCAGACCGAACCAGAGACGCGGTGATGCCACCGTCCGTCTCCCCTCCCTCCCTCCCTCCATCTGCCCCCGAAGCCTTTTTTTTTTTTTTGGTCTCTGTGTTTCATAAGTTTCTTTTTAAACACATTTCGCGACGGGAATCGAACCCCCACACAGTCCGGGGGGTCTGGGCCTGACCCCGCAGCACCAGTGGCCGTTCACGCTGCCGTTACTAAAGGAAATCAAACCAACAACAGCAGTAGTTGTTTGTTTGTCTTCTGTGGAAACGTTAATGCCAACATCAGATTAAGTGTGTGTGTGTGTTTGTGTGTTTGTGTGTGTGTGTGTGTGTGTTTGCATTTACTGGAACGTCACACTCACTCTGTTGTATGTGTTTATTGGGTTAAACGCGAGTGTATGTGTGTATCTGTGTGTGTGTGAGCGTGCAGCGACTCCTGGCAGCCACCTGTGGGAGCAGTGAGCCGCCGCTTGCCTTCTCTCTTGCGGAGGCCCCAGAGGGTCGACGCATTACCGAGAGAATGAGCGCGCGAGAGAACGAGAGAGAGAGATAGAAGGCGAGCGGCGGCAGAGAGGACGAGAGCGAGGGCCACGCCGCACGGCCCCCTGGGTATTTATTACAACCAATAAAAGGCTGATTTACTGAGCATTTACATGCTGAATGCAAACAGCCGGCGCACTCTGCGCTAGGAACCTGGCCGCAGATGAACGCTCGCACCAACGCACACGCAGTCACACACACGCAGTCACACACACACACACACGCGCGCTGCAGCGTTTTACAGTTTAATTATATGATTTGGAGCAGTAGCCAAAAACACCGGCGTCTTCCTGCGAAAAAAACATCCAAAAAACGCTGGGGCTCCATTTGTACCTGACCCTCACGGGCCTGGGTGGCTGGATGGAGAGGGGGCTGATGGGTAATCGGACGCAGTCCCTGTGTTTTTCCTGTCCAGCAGAGTTTGATTGTTAACCAGAGATCGTTTTCTCTCCAGGATTAAAATAAATGTGGATGAAACAGAGGAGAGGAGGCGGAAACACACGCAGAGGACAAACATTCACTGGGTTTTTGTGTAATTTTTAAATTTAAAAAACTGAGAACTGATTCTTCTGTTAAAATGACTGGGTTAAACCGTTTATTAGGTGTGTGAGAAAGAATCGATTCACTGAAATATCGCGATATTTTGTTTCTCAATACTGTATCGATTTTTTTTTCTCACCAATTCCCAGTCCAATATTCCTGGTGTTGGTACATGTTTTTTTTCTTTTCTTTCTTCTCTAGTGATTCCAAATGTAGATCCCTCTGTTTCAGTGTTAGGAACTGATGTTCAGATGGTGAAAAAAAAAAACAAACCCTCAATCTGTCGTCGCGCCTAAAATATCGCAGGATATTGCAAAATATCGTTGCCTCTGTATTGCCAGATTATCGCCAACACACACCACTAACGTTTGAGACGTACGACCGCCGTCGCACTGATGGAATAAGGCTATCGCCAACACACACCACTAACGTTTGCGACGTACGACCGCCGTCGCGCTGACGGAATAAGGCAAAAAAAAAAAAAACAAATGTCAGTTTTAGATTTTAGGGTTAAATGAGATGATTCTGTGCGTGTGAGTGTGTGTGTGTGTGTCAGTGTCACAGACACAGATGAACAGGAAGACAAAGTGGATGACAGGCCTCGTCTGACATTAAGCCCCAGCAGTGAACACGAGAAAAGTGGATTGAATGGTTGTCACAGGATCCAAGACACGAAGACACGAAGCGACAAACTAATCCTGTGAGTGTGGATGACAGCGAGGCAGCCACGCTGCAGACGGCGCGCGGCTCAGGGAGCGTGAAAACGGTCGAGTCGTGGGGGAGCGTGTGCCGTCGCAGCATCTGAAACTTATCTCTTCAAATTATAAAAAAAAAAAAAAAAAAGGGCAAATGGGTGGCAAAAAAAAGTAAAATGTGTAAATAATGGCCAAAAATATATACAAATATTTTTTAAACTGTCATAAAGCAGGTCACTAATAAAATTAATTATTTTTTATTCAATAAGTAATTTATCTCTGTAACTGCAGTAAAAAAATAAACCTGATTTATTGCAGTAAAATGTGTGTGTGTGAGAGAGAGAGAGAGAGAGAGAGAGAGACTCCATACGTGTTTATCAAATAAACACAATTTAGCAGCAACGCAGACAAGTCACTTCACAAACGTGTAGCCCCGCAATCTTTCCTCACAGACAAATATATATATATATTTGTATTTCTATGAAAATTAGTAAAATATTTTCTGCTGAAAAATTACCTTAGAAGGTCAAGAAAATATATTTATATAGCTGCATATTTGCATATATATATATATATATATATGTATGGTTGATATATGGTTCATATATAAATACATTTTTACAAAATATATGTAGATATATGTATATTTATAACAAATATATATATAAATATACCTGTGAATTTGTATATATGTGTATATATTTCATGTGTATTTACATGTAAATATATATATAGATGTTTTTTGTATATATGTATAATCACATATATACACAAACATATATAGACATATAACAAATACATATCATATTTCATACTAATCAATTACGTGATTTAATCCCTAATTATTATTTTATTTTATACTGAACAAATATGAAACTCTATTCCCAGCCTTGACGTAAACCTGACGAGAACCTGTGGTCGTCTACCTCATTGTTTCCCAAAGACTGGGTCGCGACCCTCAGGTGGGTCGCAAGAGTTTTTTTTTTTCTTGGGGTCGTCTCATGTTCCCCAGGAGTTTACGAATAACGTCTTTTGATTTGAGTCGTGAAGATTTGTGACTTTTGAAAATACGAGTCCCCAGAAAACTTTTTTTTTTTTTTGGAGAAACTGTGCTCTACCTTGTCTGTGCGTCCGTTGTTGAGACTCAGGTTGCTGACGGCGGCCACCTTGGCGTCCAGGACCTGCTGCTCTCTCTTTAGCTGCTCCTTCATCTGCCGGGCCTCGGCGAAGGCCTTGGTCACCGCCTCGTGGTCGTTGAGATAGGCCGTCGAGGACAGTGACGATAACAAGTCTGCTGAGACAGAGGAGAGAGTCGGGGGGGGGATGCGGGGGGGGAGAGCGGAGGAGCGTTAGAACCAGACGCTAACGTTGGTTTAGCACTTCAGCTGTTGGTGATAAAAAAATGTTAGAAAGAAGCGAGACGTTTCCCCTGATCGGTGCTTTAATTAGACGTCTGATTGAACGGCCTGTGTGTGTATGTGTGTGTCCAGGTGTGTGTGTGTGTGGACAAGAGCGGGCAAACAATATTTTCCTCTGGAATAACCCCCCCC